CACAGGGTGTGGAGCGCATTGACGAGCCAGGCCTGCGGAGCCTGCGCACCGCACGGCACCTGGAACCAGGCATGGTGCTTACTGTGGAACCGGGCATCTACTTCATCGACCACCTCCTGGACCAGGCCCTTGCTGACCCAGCCCAGGCCTGCTTCTTTAACCGCGAGGTCCTGCAGCGCTTTCGGGGTTTTGGCGGGGTGAGTGCCTGTGAGCCCAGTCTTGTTCTCAGAACGCCCACTCTCCCACTGCTGCTGCTCATCAGAACAGAGGCCCTAGTGGAGGAGAGACAGTCTTCACTTCCTCACTTGAGGAGGGCCTGGCCTGCCCCTTCACATAGTCTGGTAGCAGACATGTGCCTCATTCCTCAGTAGGAAGACAGGCTCTACCCACCCGAGAGATTCCCATTTACCACAAGGACAGTGAGGTCACATAAGCAAATGACCATGGGAGGCACCTTCCTCTAGTGGGTAGTCCACAGAGACTTTGCAACTAGTGTCTTCTGGAGAGTATTGATCATTCCTAAATGTGTTAATCAGCCTTCTGTCACTGTGACAAAATACCTGAGATAAATCAACTTAAAGGAGGAAAGATTTTACTCCCAGTTCTGAGGATGGAACCCAGGGTCTCACACATGCTAGGCAAGCATCCCACCCAGAAAAGGTTTGTTTTGGCTCGTAGTTTCAGAGCGTCCCTGGTTACTTGGCCCCAGTGCTTTGGGCCTGAGGTGAGATAAAACACAGCTGCTCACCTCATGGTGGCCAGGAAGTAGAAAAAGAGAGGGAGGAAGGAGCTCGGGCCACAATAGCCTTCAAAGGTAGCATACCTCCAATGACCTGCTTCCTCCAGCTAGACCCCACCTCCTAAAGTTTTTACCACCTCCCCAAAACCAGGTAAGCTGTGAATCCTTAAGTGGATTAATTCGTTCATGAGGTCAGAACCCTCTTGATCGCATCACCTCCCCAAGGGCCCCTATCTGACACTACTGCATGGGGACCAGGCATTCAGTGAATGAGCCTATGGGGGACTTAAGATCCAAACAATAAAAGCTGCTCCCACACAGCAGGGATCAGGCTGGAGCAGGTCAGACCTGTTTGCGCTGTACGTGAGGCTAGCTCAGTCATAATGGGCTTCTGTTGGTCTGACCCAGGTCCGTATTGAGGAGGATGTGGTGGTGACAGAGAGCGGCATGGAACTGCTGACCTGTGTGCCCCGGACCGTGGAAGAAATCGAAGCGTGCATGGCAGGCTCTGACAAGGCCTTTACACCCTTCTCTGGCCCAAAGTAGAGCCAGCCAGAATGTGCAGTGAGACTGGGCTGGCCTTGTAACCTCTCTCCAGGCCGGACACAGCCTGGTGATTGGCCCTCCAACAGCAAGAATGGTGCTCAGCAATCAGATCCTAGCGTTGACACTTGATCATACCAAATAATCCTGTTTCCAAGGAGCTTTTTAACCTTCTGCAAGAGCACACCCTTAATTTCTTGTGTACTTTGCTTAAATGACAGTGACTTAAAAAATGCTGATTGAAGAGAATCTTATTCTTTAGTAGCAACTAAAATGTGTCTTGCTGCTATTTGTATTCCTGTTCTCAAGAAAGATGCATTTCCAGTGTTTTCTCCCAAATCAATGTGCAGGATGAAATTTATAATAAAATGTTTCCTAAAATGGTCCTTTGTTCATGGTTCCCTCTTCATTTTTTTCTTTTTGGATACCGGGGATTGAACTGAGGGCCACTGGACCACTGAGCCACATCCCCAGCCCTATTTTGTATTTTATTTAGAAACAGGGACTCCCTGCATTGCAATTTCTCACTAAATTGCTGAGGCTGGCTTTGAACTCATGATCCTCCTGCCTTTTCATCCATCCTTTGTGGATGAGCTCGGGGAATCAGGACCCTAAAAAGATGGTTCATCTAGTGTCTCAGGAATCAATTCACAAGAAAATGGTGCTGCTGGCACAGGCCCTGTTCCCCCTGTTCTGCATCAGACTGGCCTGAGAGAACAAGGGCAGAGTCCTCCCCCAAGGCCTGCTTTGAGCCCCGGGGACTCTGCTGGGCTTCAGTATCACCCTGTCACCTTTGCTGCTAGACTTCCCAAGCGTCACAGGTCATCAGAATCACTGGGGTACTTGGAAATGAGAATCTCCAGAGATTATGCCCAAGGAGCAGTGTAAACAAGCCCTCCTAGACACTCCAGACACACAAGTTTGTACCACACTGATGTCACCCCATCAGTCCCAGTGCAGCCAGAGGCTGGGGGCTAGGTAGATGTTGAACCAGCCCTGTAGAAAGATCCCGGGCACTCAGGACAGATTGGTGGAGTTATTCTATACCTTACCTTTGCACAAGTTAAAAGGTTAACCTAAGTCTTTTAAATATAGTTATTGCCTCAAAGTTAGATTTCTGAAAGGGACAGAATTATATAGCACTTGAAATGCAGTTATTTAAAATTTGAGACTTACAGGGATCCTGCAACCATGATTTTCTTCATGTAAAACCAGCATCTGTTAGGCCCTGTCACCTGTGTGGCCCAGGAGCTTGCCCTAAGAGGAAGCCCACTGATCAAATTCTGCTCCAAGGTGGTAAGGCCACCCAGAGCCCATTGTGCCTGGTCCCTGCCACGGATGGAATACCTGTCCTTCCCTCTGTGCCATTGCCACAGAAGTCCTACAGAACTGCAGAGCCAGCTTCTAGAAGTCTGCACACCCATTTCAGATTTGTCTCCTCACAGTGTTGTCATGCAGGAATTTCCAAGTCAAGGTGATGGGCAAGTGAGAAGAAAGAATGCCAGGGATGAATGATGGAGTGGAAAACTAGCCCAAGCTAGACGCTTTTGAGAAGCCACCAAGGAGTTCAATACAAATGGATGTAACAAAAAAGTGCTTATGATGTGACCCTAAAGAAATAAAAGCCAGAGCTGGGAGTGTAGCTCAGCACTTTCCTAGCATTGCCAAGGCCCTACCTGGGTTTCATCCACAGCACAGCAAAAACAAATAATCACAGTTCCAAGTTGCTTTTATCTCTTTTGCTTTTTGGGTTTACGATACCCACTCTTTAAGGTTTTTTCCTGGTGCACAGATGTATCCCCTCAGCCACTGGTGACACCAAGCAGTTTGTACAACACTGGGTCTTTCTGAGCATCAGATGAGTTGAAGAGTTTGCCAAGCATTTCTCCACCCCTGCTGCCCCTGATAAACCAGTATAGGTGCACAGGGTTACAGTATCACCCACCTCTGGCTAAAACCAGTCCAAGTTAGACTGAAACTCTAAATGGATGTTTTGTTTTGTTAATTAAGAAACAGAGCTATGTGTATCACACACCTTTCTCCTTCCTCCCCTTTAGACATTCCAAACTGCCCATTCCACACCCAAACTGCTCATTCTACTGGGTTTTTTTCCCCTGATTGTCAAGCATATGGACAAAAAATTAAGGAGAAAATCTCAGTAACTAAACACTTTGTCCAAGAGGGACACTGGGAACATAAATGTGACTTGTTTAGTCCAGGTCAATAGGCATTCTTTGAAGGTACAGGTAGGTCTCAGGCAGCCCACTCCACCCCATGTTCCTAAGGCTGTGTTCAACTTGTATCTCCTCCAACCTCTGCCAGAAATTTGTACAGCCTCAAAAATACTTGAGGCCTTTCCAGAATACACGAGGCTAAAGCACTCACAAAAAAGGTGTAGGTAGTCATTTGATAAATAATTAAGCATCTACTCTGCACCAGTGTGGTATAAACACATAATCCATGTGCTCAGAGCCTATAGCCTTCTAAGAGGGGCTTCGCCTTAGCAAGCACAAATAACTATATAGTCTAGGCCAATGAAAAAATGCCAGGAAGAAAAATAAGGTTGACCTTGCACAGAGGCTGGGGGCTAAAACAGGAAAGGTTTGGGTTGAAAAGTAAGAGGTACTGCATTCCAAACATAAAAGGTAGGAGAAGAGTGAGGGGAAATTAAATTGGCAAGATGAAACAGAGCCACTCTACAAGATTGGGTCTCACCTTGGATGCACTTGGGAGTAACAGGATGGTTCTGGAGAGCATGTGATGATTCTCCTGTCTAGGAAGACCAAGTCTAGGCTAGAGAGGAGAGCCCTCCACAAGATAGGGCTAGGGGAAGTGAAGCAGACAGGTCCCCAAAACACATTGAGGGAGAACTGAGAGGTGATGATGTGCGAAGGCACCAGGCTCTAACAGCTGCTTCAAAGGGAGTGGCAAGTCTTGATGTTTGGGTTCCAATAAAAGAATATCTAGGGATTGGCGCTCTCCTTTAAGTGCATATAAAATACTTATGAACTCTTCAGATTCATACAGTGAAAGAGTTGGTCTGAAAGTGTTGTTAAAAACGACCTGGCACCTTCAACAAAGAAATAATCTCTCTATAAAACTTCCCAGGACAAATTATTGGATCCTAAAGTATACCTAATTCATAAAAATGAAGTGGGACATACTACCCACAGAAATGACTGTACTACAGTTTTCATGAAACTGCTATGAGTAGAAATTTATTTTCCAAGACATGAAAAGAATCAAAGGATCATAGAAAAGTATCTCAATGGCATCTTCCCTTGAAACAACTCAAATCAGCAAACTCATCTCTACAAAATGATGTCATGTAAGTGAAGATGGTAATATTAAAACTGTATGGTTGGGGGAAAGCCTTACAGTGATCCATTACTTCAAAACAGGAATTTATTACCACTCTGAACAGAAATCATACACTGAGACACTGGGTGATTTAGCAGAATCCATTCATTGCTTTCCCTATTGTAGTAGACATGTTTAAATTAGACCCAGTGACTAAAAGTATATCTGAAGATATATTCACATTCAGAGAAAACTACTTCCCTGTCCACTAAGGGAAGTTTATGTAAATGTGGGCAAAAGCACCTCTGCTTATTCCCCAACCCCCACCCCAGGCTGGGAGCAGGAAGCTCAGCAAGGTTTCGGCACATTTTCAGAACCGCTTTCTGTTATCTAATATAAAGAAATCCACAATGAAATACAGAGATTGTTCCAAATTTCTTTATTTTAAACTTATTGAAAGAAATAAAATTATATTTAAAAAAATAGAGTAATCTCACAAACTGAAAGCCAGGAACAAAAGAACAAGTTGGTAGTTTTTCCTGAGAGGCAGATCTAATTAGCTGGAGAATGGACTTTCTCTTTCCTAGCTTTTGTCAAACAAACAAAAAAAGTTGTTTTTCCTATTTCTAAGGCATCAAAAGCACTCTGAATGCTAAATGGGTTGTTCAGGTACAAAGTTTCAGCCCTCTAACAGGGATTAAGAAACATCAAAGGCTGCTATAATTTCCTTTCCTTTAATATCAAATTGTACATACTTCTACTTTTTACATAAATTTGAGAATGTCACACTCATGACCCAAATTTTTAAAATCTGGTCATATTTTAGTAAAATCTTACTACTTCTCAGTAAGAATGTCCAAAGTATCTGAGCTGGCGTCCCAGTGACTGAAAGGGGCCAGACATAGGAATAGCTGATCCGCTCAAATGCTGCCAAAACCAGTCAAAAAGCACCTATCCCAGGAGACTTGGATCAGCTGGAAATTTATACTACTGGCTAATTCCTAAACCACTAGACCTGCCCACAAAGCAGATCAAATCCTAATGGTTCATAAGTAACACACAGAAGTTTAAAAAAAAGTCACTTTATAATTCCCAAAGCTCTAAACTTAGTCATTTCCCACACTTAGTTTCCCTCATTTTTATACTGGTAAAACTATCAAACTAAAAACTTTCACTCTTGACTTCGGTAAAGTAGTCAAGACAATTGTTAGCATTTTCATTCTATGCATAATTGCTTGTGTTAAAAGTTTTGATTTATATAGGTAATAAGAAAGCTTGAATCAGTTTTTTCAGATGTTCCAATCTTATGTTGATTTGAAATATTGAGTACACACTCCAGATGATTATTCCCACAGCTTGTTTTTCAAGATAGCTTATCATCGTATCATGGTAACCACAAATTCCTTGGGGACATCCATTTCTGAAATTTTTTAAGTGAGAGAGTAAAATGTTGGTAACATCTATTTAGGTATTTAAAGATTCAAGGGTCTTAACTGTCTCTCTAATTAATTATATAACATGAACTAGCTTTTAAAGATTCAGTAGGATTCTGTGGATGCATCCTCATTAGTTACTCCAAACACCTATCAACCTTCATGAGTAGTAGATCAATATTGCAAAGTAAACTGGTGATGGACCCTAAGGGAGGGGGAAAAATTTTTTTTTTAAAATCCCCATCCTTCCCTACCCTGTTTCCTGGTTCTGTAGGGTTAACAGCCCTCCTGAGAAGCATCTCCAACAATACTAAGTTCTTGTTTTATGTGCAGCAGCTGAGTTGCACAGCAAAAAATGATGTCTTCTGCCCAGGAGAACTGCAGAGTCAGCACTCTTCCACCAAACCCAGGGCACAATCTGCGTTACAGTCTAGTTACATTATACCAAGTCCTAGTAGGAAACAGCAATTGGCCAGAAATGACCATGTTCAAATAAAATACCTGGTAACACAAACTTTAATCAGATATGACTCATGTCTAGACACCATCCCAGGCACAAAATAACACACAGAAGCCAAACAAATCTGAGCTAGAATTGTGCTTTAAAAGAAAAAGAAAAAAAGATTAAAGACAATCTAAACTACCAACATTGATAATAAGGCAGACTCTCAAGATGCCCTACATTAGTGATTGCCATTTTTTAGTCTCAACAAAAATGTCAATATCCTGAGTTTTATCAGCATTTTCTTTCTAAAATAATTTATGGAACATAAAAGCATACAAAAGAATAAACAGAAGTAGTGGTACATAAAGTCTGGAAGAAGAGCCCACTAACTAGGAAAAAAGTCACAAAAACAATATAAAAAGATGTATTTAAGTGAAATAAATTAAAGGTTAAAACCTTATACTTTCAAGTTTTCTTAGAGACTGTTATTTTGGGAGATGGCATGGAGATGATACATTTTTCTAATAATCATGTGGTTAAGATCAAATACTAAAATGTTCTTTCACAAGAATTTTTGCCTTTAAAAATCATGGCCCTGTGGCAGTTATTTTCAACACAGAAGAAACTAACAGCTAAACCAATATTCTAATAAATCTTAATCAGAGCTTATATCATCAAACTGTTAAGACTTGTATTTACTAACTTGGCTATCAAAAAGATACCTCTCCCCCACCCCCCCCAAAAAAGAAGCTACTAGCATCTGCAGAAACTAAAATTTTGGTAAAAAATGTTTTTTTAGGACACAAAGCAATGCCTAATCAATAACCCAAACAATATCCCCAATATTTGCTATACTTTTATTTTTTAAAAAATCTGCTTTTTAAATGTCATGTGCATTTTTAAGCCAATTTGCTGCATACTGCTTTTAAGAGGTGATGAGATTTTTTATTCAACCTGACATCACTATTCAAAAACTGGTACTTTGGGGGGGAAACAGTACTAATTATGCTAAAACAAGGTTTGTGCTATATGTAAAATCATTCCAAATTACAATGATTGATTTCTATAGCCTTAGGATTTATAATATACAATTTAGGATAAAAATCACAAATAGATGGAATCCTAATTTTTCTTAACCCAATTAATCATAAAACCAAGTACCTTCTGCGTGACCTGCCAGTTTCCCATTTCTTTTGCCAGCCTAAAAAATAAGGATTTCTGGGGAAGTCAGGATTTACATTAAGAACATCAAGGTCCAAGATATATATATTTTTTACCATATACCTTAAAATTTTGTTTTTTGATCCCCACAAAAATCTGTATCATTCAAAACCAGATAATTAAATTATACGGCTAATCAACTCTTCAGTGCTGATCCTAGAAAATAATATCCAATGGATCTTTGAATAATGGATCAAGACAACATTGAGCCATTGATATGAGTGGTGCAGGTTATCACACCTTTAACGGTTCAAGCCACAGTTTGTGAAGTCTGGAAAGGGTGAGGTCTACTGTCCTGCGTTATCAGAATTTGTTGTTGTATTTTCAGTGCTAATGGGCTGCACGTTGTCTGCAAGGTTGTGTGCATGCTCAAGAAATAAATCTTTTAGTACGCTTAATTCCTTTGTCAGCAATTTAATTTTAGCTTCCAACCGTTCATTCTCTTCTTTGAGCTGATTCACTCTTTGTAGTGTATCCTGTGCTTTCTGCTTGCTTTTCAATCGGCTCTTTTTCACAGCCATGTTGTTCCTTTCTCTCCTTTGACGATATTCATCGCTATTTCGATCCATGGGTGAACTCTTTTTGCTTTGCTTGCTTGGAGGCACAGCTTTGCCTCCTCCCCCAGGGCCAGCAGGCACCAGCTGAGGAACCTGCTGTAAGCCACTGGCATGTGCCTGAGTATGAATAACGCTTATTCCATTCACCCCTGGAGTACTGTTTTGCTGTGATGTCTTGCTCATTTGGGCACTCTCTTGCCGACACAGAACAGACAGAAATGAGAGCCAGGTGATCAATGGTATCCAACTAAACTGCCAAAAAAATCTTCACTTGTACCTAGTTAAAAAGAAAATAAAATGCATAAAGTATTTGAAATAACAGATCAAATGAAATTAAATCTGCAAATACCTAACTTGCAGTCCACCATGCTGTGAAAAGTTTACAGCAACTGCCTACTGTTGTAATGTTTCAGAAACCTAAAGCATTTAATTTAGAGAGGTGAGTTAGTACAGAAGCACCCTAAGAGTGAACCAGCCCACCTGAATCCTGAGGGTACTGCCCATCTCTGATATCAGGAAAAAAAGAGGATGGAGGAAAAAGCCAGGCATTGTGATACTTACCTATAATCCCAGCTACTCAAATGGCTGAGGCAGGAAGATTTGCAAGTTTGAGATCTGCCTGGGCAACTTAGACCTTCTCAAAATATAAAGGGCTGGGATATAGCTCAGGGGTATAGAGCATGCCTAGCAAGCTTGGAGCCCTAGATTCCATCCCAGAATAGCTAAAAAAAGGTGGGGAGGAATAGGCAAAAAAAAACAAACAGAATACTACTAATTAGGTAGCACAATGAACTAATAGCACTTGATAATCTGCCAGAGAGAAATTTGAGATATTTGGGTTAACCATGGAAAAGCTGAGTTCAAATATGGTAGAAGAGACACCCGCAATGAAAGGGGGAAAAGTTTAAATGTGGATCAAGTCAAAATAGAATACTGGAGTGTCCAGTCCCCAGTATTTATGAAGAATATTATTCTATGATCTCTGCATGTTCCATACTCTAATATGTAGCCAGTGAGTCATCAAGAAGTTGACTTTTCTCCCTAGCTATCTTTACAGGGTATCTGAAAAGGTATTTTTGCTTCTTTATTTACTGAGCTAGTTTCTTGGATTAAGGAACTCTGAGATACCAAATATGCTCTCCCATTCCATCATGTTTTTAACTGTTTTTTTCTCCCTGATATAATTAATAAAATATCTAAATACACCCAATCTGAAACCACAAGGAAAGAAACAAAAGCCCTAACAATACATACAAGAAGTGTAAGTACTGGGACTCGGGCTGGACAAAGGACTAAACAATTGCAGTGCCTGCACCCACTTCTGAATGAGCATAGAGAACATGCCAGTTTTGAAGCTGTGGTGTTACCCATAGAAATGAAGTCAGTTTCAAAAACTCCCCAGATTTGACATGAACCCAACTGTTTATACAGTTGCCTGAAGAAGTATAGAAACACACCTACCCGATCATCATGACAAAGCTAAGTGAACTATCCACCAAGAAGTCATAGCTCTTAGAAATTCAGAAAGCAATGGTATTGAACCATAAAACTATCCTATTCTCTTTTCGTAAAACTGCTAAGACTATATCAGTGGGGAAAAACAATCTGGAGTCAGAATTATGAAATGTCCCCATTGAATCGCTAAGAAAAATTCACTGAGGCCAGGTACATGGTAGTGCACACCTGTGATACTAGCTACTAGAAAGAATGAGGCAGGAGGATCACAAGTTTGAGGTTACCCTGGACAACTTAGCGCAACTGTCTCAAAATAAAAAGGGTTGAGGGTGCAGGTTAAAGGTAGAGTGCTTGCCACCCGTGAAGCCCTGGGTTCCATCCCTAGTACCACAAAAAAACAACATCAAAAAACTTTGCTGTATATAAGGTCCATATATCATTACTGTGAATTATTTTAAAAGCCACCCAACCTGCCCTGAGCTACTGGGTTCAATCTGTTCTCACTCCAGCACTAAGCAAGATAGAAAGCTTCCTTGCAAGCCAGGATGGATAGCTACTCCAAGTCTCTTTAATAATGGACATTTCATAATTTCCCTTGAAAAAATTATATGGCCTAATTTTTCTTCCAGTTAAAAAGTGGGTGTTCAGTATTAACTGAAGCCACTTTTGCTGCCATTTAAAAATATTGCTTATCTAGTTGATATAACGTGAATAAGTGTTTTAACCAATTTCTAAGAACTTGTTTAATTTAACATCTCTCCTGGGACTGTCTTAACAATCATAATCAAATTTATCTTGATTTACATCAAGAACATCAAGGTCCAAGATATATATTTACTTTTTAAATTTTTCTTGTATGTTATATTCTTAAGTCCTTAAAGCTAATCCCTACAGTCATTTTGGCCAAGTTCAGGGATAGCAATACCCCAGTGACATACAGGCAAGAAACCAGATCAAATCTTATCTCAGCTCTGGCTCCCTCTCCTGTTTCACTGTGAGGCATAGCTAACCCTTCCCTTCTGTGGGCTTCAATCTCCCCCTGTACACGCGAGGGATGTGGAATGCTAAGATGCCTCCCGACTACCAACATACTGTGAACTCCATTCACTAACAACTTTTATTCACTACAGACTCCCAATTCAGTAATGTTCATGCCTGTTTATGTACCCAAAGATACAGGAATGGGGAAGGGCTCTTTTACCTCAGCCTGACTCATCTTGCCAAGGTACTAGACGGAACAAAGGAGGTGAGCCCTTTGTCTTGAAAAACAATGAATATTCACTGAAACTACAAACTGGCAAAAAAGAAAGTTGAAGTAAATAAAAAGAACTCCATGATTGTTTAGGAAAGACAGCAGAATACAACAGACACTAGTATGGCAATATGTAAATCAATGGATGTGTAACTGATGTGATTCTGCAATCTGTATATGGGGTAAAAATGGGAGCTCATAACCCACTTGAATCAAATTGTGAAATATGATATATCAAGAACTATGTAATGTTTTGAACAGCCAACAATAAAAAAAAAAAAAAAATAGGCAAGCCCAAGAATATAGCTCTTAAAGAGAAAATCAAGTAAAAGGGATCAAAGAGCTAAGTGAACATCAAAAGATTATCAATTTTGTTTTTACACTGAACAAGCCACTGTCATTTATTTTTTTGTTCCTTCCACATTTACTGAAAAACAAAAAATTGGAAAAACAAAATAAAAAATTAGTTTATTTCAAATCTGGATATTACAATCTAAATGGAAGTCTGGCTCCTATGTGGACAAATACTATTCCAAAGTTCAGTTTACAGGAAGCAGGGTGGGGCTTGTTTCCTTGCATGTGAATCATTCAAATAGGAAGCAAAAGGAAAGCTGAAAGCAGTAGTTCTTTAAGTATGGTCCCTAGACCAGCATCATTACCATTCAAGAACATTTCAGAAATACAGCTAGACATATAGGGCAGGCCCGTATTCTCAGCAACTCAGGAGGCTAAAGCAGAAGAATGAGACAGGTAGAAATACCCTGTCTCAGGATTATAAAAAAATAATAAAAAGAACTGGTGATGTAGCTCAGTGGTAAAGTGCCCCTAGGTTCAATTCCCAGTACCAAGAACAGAAAAAATAAAAAGTAAATTATTGGGTTGCCCCTGACCTCTGATTTCATTCTGGGTATAGGGTTATACAATCTTGCTTTAAGGGCACCTCCAGGTGATTTTTGGCGATAATGAGTTTGAAGCCACTTCTTATAGACGGATTAACACTGGGTCTTAAAAATGTTGGTCCAAAAGAGTAACAGATTTTTAAATTCATTTATTAATTAAAAATTAATTTTTAATTAATTTTTTAATTTCTTAATTCGATTAATGTTCATTCAAATCAGTAACATACTGAAAGCTTAGACTATTAGAATAAAAACATTTCTAAAGCTTCAGCTTAAGAATCTTTCTAGCTCTTCTGTCACTTTTTTTTCATATACCTAGAATCCTAATCCCCTCAAATAAATTTTTCATTCAATTTCCTTAGTGAAGGTCCATTCTTCAAAGGAGCTGCTCCCTTGCCCCAGATCTGTTCAATCATTAAGATCTGACAATTCTACCTAAAACAAAGACAAAAACAAAAACTCTCCAATCTATCATTACTCTAGATCCCAATGCCACAGAAATTACCTCAAGATGACATCATCTCTCAGGGGCACTAGTCTCTGATTTCGTAGCATTCCCTCCAAACACTGTCTCAAGAGCAATTTAGTACTCAAACCTGAGTGTATCACACACTCCTGCTGAAAATCTGTGGCTCCAGACTACAGGATCAAATTCAAGGCCCTAACCCTTCTCCAGCCCCTGCTCCCTTATGAGTCTCCTCAATGGTCTATATTTTCTCTTCATGCTTCTATCCAACTTGTTCCCAGAGTTTCTTTGTCAATTCCAGCTCTCCTGTGGGCCTCTCTGTAGACTAAATTAGAGGCAGAGCTCTGTTCATCTTCACATGATAGTATCAGTGCAGGGTCTGGGAAAGAGGGGGCATCCCTTAGGGAATACATAAGTGGTCTACTGGGGTATGAGAAGAAAATGTACATAAGTTTGTTGTAACGTCATCTTTTAAACCTACTTATGATGTGATTAGCAACATACAGATTGTCTAGAAATATACATGTATCAAGAGTTCATGCTCATTTTTTTTTTAATTGACAGGGCTGGGAAGCAATGTAGCTACTAATGTAAGAACCCATGCAACCATCACTTCCAGGGGTAAACCTGGAATTGTGGCCATCACTAGTTATTATTATTAATTGGATGAGGCAATTTAGACAATAAAATCAAATTCATCCCCATAGGGTCCTATGCATCCTTCTCAGGGGCTCACGAGGTGCCATTTAACTCCCCAAGGATATACCACTTTCCCAAGAGCACAGAGCCTTGCTGACAATCATGATGTATTCTTGAGAACTGAAATGATATTCTGGAGGAAAGAATAAAATTTTGTTCCCACTTATTCTTTTTTAGGAAAATAAATGTCAAGTGTGGCCACCAGAAACAGGAAAGAAGAAACTGAAATATTCTTCAGCTCACTAGCATCCTGTAATTATTTAACTTTGTTTACAGTTTTTCTAGAAACAGAGGACTAAACTTCAAGAATGGCTTATCTCAAATACTATTCAAGTGGTAATACTAATCAAATCTTAAAAAAGAGCTTTTAGAGCTGAGGATGGGGGGGGGGGGGGGCTGTTAGTGATAGAAGGTTTGCCCCAGTATGCACAATCCCCAGCTCTCCAGTAACAACAGAAGAAACTTCTAAATGAAAATTTCTTAGTAAACCAAGCCCTTATGGTATTTTATTTCAAAATTTTCTTTGGGAATCACATTTCTTTGAGAATCACATTAAATGATAACATATTCAAGTAAGGATTCAAGTGAGCATAAGCTCTCAATTCTTGTGTTACCCACCAATTTTAAAACTGACACATTTTAAAATGCCAGCTTACAACACAAATCTCAAACAAGAGGAAAGCCAAATACTTCAAACGCTTACCTGGAAAAAATGACCATCCCTCCCCTCATAGATGCAATCCCATCCTCTCCACCTAGATACTTCTGCTGGCTAGTTTCCTGTGTTCCCTCCAATCACGCTAAAGGACCTCATTGCTTGCCCTTTTTGTAGTCAACTCCTGGTCATCGCACGTTCACCTAAATGATGTCCCACTGTGAACTGCAGGACAAATATCTCCACCAACAAGCAAAACATTCTTTCTGTAAAGCTTTGTATTTGCAAAACAAAAAAAAAACACTACTTTTCCTATAAAATCACTCTATTAACTTCTAACAGAGTTCTAGAGCACCCCAAACTCAGTCGTTTTAGAACGACAGGAAATGTCCTATGTGGCACTAAACTAAGATACGGTCCACCTTCTGCTATTCTGGGAACACCCTTCATCCCCAGGGGCCAATACGAGCCTGGCATGTCACGCTGCACGTTTCACAAACAGAGGGCCGGGTTTTGGAGGGGGGCACACCACGTCCTCCATCCAGTCCCTGGCCGGCAGCGAGGGGCGCCCGGGAGAGCGCGGGGGTCGGCTGGTGGCGCCGCGGCGCTGGGCCGCAGCCAGGGATGAGCTCAGCCCGCCGGGTGTTGCCGGCAGGTTGCATCAGACGCCGCGCGGGGCCCCCGCCCGCGCTTCGAGTCACAAGGGGCCTTCCGGGCCAACCGGCCGCCTCAGGCCGGGCCGGGCCGGGTCTCCCTGGACCGGGCTCGCGCCCACGCGAGCGGCCGGCTCCGCCGCGGCCTCCTCCTCAATGCCCGCCCGTTCGCGGCCTCCTTACCTGCGCCTCCAGCCCACCCGCCCCCAGGCGGCCTCCACTCTGAGCGGCCCCGAGCGGCTCGGCCCGACCCGACCCAGGCCTCGCAGCCCGCGAGTCAGCTAGGAGGAGCGACGGTTACGAAACCGGCAGCCTCCGCCCGTTCCGCCGCCGCGGCCACCGGCTTCCCCTCCTCGCCCGGACCGCGCGCGCTGCCGCGGCCACCACGACCAATGGGAGCACGGGCTTGAGGGCGAAGCACCCGCCTCTCAGGACGGGCAGAGCCTCCAGCCAATCACGGGCCGCCTGGCTGCAGGGGGCGGGCCCATGGCGGAGGCGTTAGCCGCCTCGCGGCGGAGCGGGCGGGTGTGGCGGGAGCAGGCGGCGGCTTGTTGCTCCGCCCGCGGTCCCGCCGCTGTTCTCGCTGGGTGGTGACTGCCCTGAGCTGTGGGCGACCAGTGGCGAGGAAAATTCTGTCCAAGTCGGAGACTTGAAGAGCCCTCACCTGTGAGGGCCATACCTGCCTTTGGGAAGCTGCATTACCCGAGGCGGATTTTGGACTCAGGGATTTCTGTTTGGGTTTCACCACATCCTCTGGGAGTCCCCTCCGTGTCGCCCTCACGGTTTCCCAGAACACCCTTCTGGACTCGCCTCCTGGGACCGGGGGTGCCCGGCGCCCCTTCAATCTCGGACCCGCGCCCACGTGATCAAGACTGGAGGAAAGTCCTGGACATTTACGTCGCTGAAGGCAATCGCAGACTTTGTTTTTTGAAAAAACGAGTGAAACAAACTTTTGCCAGTCAGATTAGTATTGCTGTCCCGTTCGTGGAAACTGAAAGCTGTGATTCGTTGTTAGGGTGCAATGAATTTCCAAAATTGATTCCTAGGTGAGCAAGTGGAAGACGTGATCAAATGAATAGCAATCCAGTTGAATTTATCTAAGACAATTCACGGAGGATCTGAAAGCGTTTCTTAAATCAGGAAGCAGCAGCTCTGGGTGGAGGGCAGAGCCCGCCTGATAGGTTTGATTGCTTCCTCTTTAGCAATTCTTATCGTTCAAAAAATAGTCGCTTTGAAAGAGGAAATGTTTCTTCATCACCCAGGACCAGCTCTCTGCATAAGATTGTTTCGAGGAATCACTGATGATAAAGCACCTGCAGAAAAGAAAAATAAGTAAATAAAAGGGGCAGCAATTATTCGTGAACTATAACCAAAAATGCATATTTGTGAGAATAACAATGCCATCAAAACCAGTATGTCTCTTTCACGTTGGCTCTTGGTGTTCTGAGCCAAAATTTCTTTCAAGAAGATTTTAGCATTATTAAAATTGGACAGTGTTTTATTACTCGATAAATCCTAATTTTACCCTGAACATTTTCTAATCAAAAGTTGTATAGAAAAAAAAAAAAAAAAAAAACTGGATAGGTATATTCAGTTACCTTCTATTTGCTATCCACTCTACCAAACTGCTCCAGCATTCTCTGTGTCTGTCTGGGCAGGTCTTCTTCCACACCCAGCAGTTATAGTCAATGCCCAGGAGACTTGTATATTTTTTTTTCCTTTTTAGCTGGTAGCTGGTAATTCCTTCTTCTACTCTGTTTGCAAATATTTATTTGGTGCCAACCATGCTGAAATCTGATTAAGTGCTGTAAATTCAGCAGTGAACAAGGCTAACAGTCCCTGCCTACGTGGAGCTTACACTCAGAACTAGGGAGAGAGATATTCAGTAATCATAGCTTTTTCCAATTACTGTTTTCATAGATACTACAGGAAATAAGTACAAGATGCTGTGAGATTATAAAAAGGGAACCAGACCTGATCTGATGGGTCAGGAAGGCCTGAAAGATAATAGGATTTGGCTAGGTGGCATAGATGAAGTGGATGTGCCAGTCAGGGAATGTCTTACCTACAGGCCTGTGATAAGAGAAATTTAAGGCCAAAGTGGTTGAAGCAGAGGACCCTAGTGGAGACTAGTTAGTTAGATAGGGTCATGTGGACTCAAGAAGGGTTCTGATTTTTACCCTAAGAGATGGGTGCCAAAAGGAAATGAGAGCCTGGTAGAAGCTCTGTCTCTAAGTTTAGGAGAACCATCATGTTGTTTTCTTGCAAGTCACATGGACCCAGGCCATCCCAGTAAAGGAAAAATGTCCTGTGTATATCTATCCCACTAAAGTCCAAAACATATTCTGTAAATCCAAAGAATTTGTAAACAAGTAGTACATCAAAATCTCCTCCATGCTTAGTATGTGTGAGGTCCTGGATTCAATCCCCAGCACCACAAAATAAATAAATATTCCTTCCAGACGATTTGAGAAGTAGGAGTTCCTGTTAAGTGAATAATCTAGTTACTTGTCAACTACTATGATTAACTACATTAGTTACCTAAGAGGTATGAGGTGTGGACTCCCATTATCCATCTGTTCTAGCCACAGCTTCACCTCTTATTGAATATGTGACTGTGGGCAAATTACTTAGCCTTTCTGTCATCTGTAAATAGGGATAACAACAGTATTGCTGTAAGGATTAATGTATGTTAGACCCCTGGGACAGTGCCTGCCTAGTATATGGTAGGAGCTCAAAAGTATTAATCATTATTATTACCATGATGCCCATTCATGAATTACAAACAGATTGTATCTGTAGAATTATAATAGATTAAAACACACTTCAAAACTAGGTCAAGCTATAATAATATTGCTTTGATGATTCAAGCACTGAAATACACATAATATTGAAGGTGTTAATGTTGACTCTATGTTGTATCCCATAAGGTAATTTTTTTAGAGTAGTATCCCTAGTTACCACATCTTCATTTGTTTCCAAAACATAAGAGTGGAGGAAAATTTTAGTAACTTGAAATCTCTTATTTGAAAGCCATATCAATAAGTATTTACTATGCAAACTTAAATAAATTAATATATATTTGGAAAGTTTCTGAAAATTAATAAAACAAATTATTATCTCCTTTGACAGGAGATCTGGTCCATATCTGTAATATTTTGAGAAAGTTTATAGAAATTTGTGCCACAGGTTGTATCTTAGTAGATATTTATTTGGGTGTAGTATAAAAAATACAACAGTAATTATCCATCATTGTGCATTAGTCAGGGCTCCTTTAATTGGTAGTAAGTGAAAACTATCTCTGACCAGCCTTAGCATAAAAAAGGATTTATGATAAGGCTCTCTTCATGAAATAACTGGATCAAGTCAAAACCAGAATTAACAACTCAGAGATATATGTATGTGCACATGTCTATTGACTTGATGATTCTTTCTGCTTGCACACAAATTTTCTTCACATGGCCATTGACAACCTCAGTGTTCACAGTGTCAGTCACTAAAGAAAGGCCAACTTCCTTTTTAAGTTCCTATTCCAAGAATGCTAGCCAAGGACTCCAGAATGGACCCAGATAGATCAAGTGCTCATCTTGAATGACCAAATAGTCATGAGCAGGTCAAAAGGTACTAACGTGGCTGCTCTTGAGGATGGCAGCGGCAGTTCTTAGAGGAAATAGGAGTGCTGAGCCCACAAACCCATAAATATCTACTTCAAACGGCAATTTACTCTGGTGGAAGCCTTAGTCATTCTGCCCGACTGATTTGTTCTTTCTCATGTGATATGATCCCCATTCTCAAGGGCAAAATTTGAACCTCCAATTTCAACTTTGGAAGCACTATTTGGAATCCCAACAGTTAAGATGCAAAATGGTTATCTTAGAACATCTCTAAATTTATGTGAGTCTTATACATTAAAGAGAAAATTCTAATGTAGTCCAAACTTGAACATTTGACAAATATTATAAAGCACTTTTCCATGTATTGGATGTCATTATCCTGCAAAATATCAGTCTAGTGGCTTAAGTGACACAAATTTATTCCTCAGTCTGAAGGCTGGGAAGCCCAACATCAAGGTGCTGGCAAGGCAGGTTTCATTTTAAGACCTCTTCTCTTGGCTTGGCAGCTGCAGTCTCCCTGCAGGCTCACAAGACTCTTTGGGCTCTTGTGGGGGGAGGGGTGGCAAGAAGATATCAGAGGGCAAGTTCTCTGATATCTCTTCTGATAAGGGCACAAACCTGTCATCTAGACCCAACCTTCATAACCTCATCAAACCCTCATCAAGATCCCAAAGACCCCATCTCCAAATGCCATCACATTTCAGTTTAGGGCTTCAACATGCAAATTTGGGGGGAAAAATTTGGTCCATAATAGCATGTCAAGGGGGCACAGGAACCAAATGAAAGAGCCCCCAATAACCAAACTGAAATGATCTGAATGGCAAAATAAATAATGCAGTATTGAATTATAACCCAAAGTATGAAATAAATATCCACAAGTTTATACAGATATGAATAAAGAATAAATACAGAAATGGCAGAGAAGAGACAAATCTGCCATGCAGAAGAATTCCAAATAATTTATGTAGATCCTCTGCCCTCAGGTGGAGGACCATAATTCCTTACTTCTTTTTTTTTCATATTTTAATTTGTGTATTATAATTGCACATATTGATGGAATTTGTTGTTACATATTCATATCTATACACAATATAACAATATAATTTGGCCAATTATTAACATCCTAAATTGGCTTCACTCCCCACCTCCTGCCTCTTGCTCCTTTTCCTCAACAGATCTCTCTTTGATTTTAGGAGATCTACCTACATCTTTGTTTTCTTTTTCCTCTCTAGCTTCTGCATAGGAGAAAAAATATCCCACCCTTAACCTTCTGAGTTTGACTTGTTTCGCCTAATACGGTGGTCTCCAGTTCCATCCATCTTCCTGCAAATGCCATAATTTCGTTTTTTATTTATGGCTGAGTAACTCCATTGTGTAATTATCCATTGTGTATATATATATACCATGTTTTCTTTATCCATTCATTTGTTAATGGAAACTTAGGCTGGTTCTATAGTTGGCTATTGTGAATTGTGCTGCTATAAACATGGGTATGCATGTATCACTGTGGTAAGAATACGTCTTTAGAATAAATTATAATTCCCCCAAATAAATGCAATCTGCGCATCAGACTTCCTTCTGAGGTATGAAAAGGAGAAAAAAAAAGAATAATTCAATTGTGGGGAGAAATCTTATAAAGACTACCCTCAAGCTCATATGTAAAAGAACAAACTTTGATCTATACCTCACACCGTGTACAAAATCAACTCAAAATGGATATAAA